CACAGTAACATCCCCTTTCCCTGCCTTCCCAGTCTTGAGGCACTGAAGTTTGCTACAGGCTCTGTTGTTTGCTTGTTTGTTTTTTAAATACTTATCTTACAAAAACAAGTTATTTTGATCAAGTCTTTCTATAGAAGCATTCCTTCAATTGATGTTTTCTTGTGTGGGCATGTCGTCACCTGTCTGTTTCTGTTAGAAAATTCTCTTTTTGAAAGGCCATGTGTTTATTTTGTTCCTCTTCACTGCTGCTCTTCGTTAATGCCAGCTCCTTTCTCCAGCTTGTATATGCTGGTACCTCTGGTGCCCTGGGTATACATACTGTGTCTCATCTCAGTCCCATCAGAGCTGCCTGCATTCATTCACAGAGATTTAATGGTTGCCACCCATTAGTATAGTGACACTCATCCCTGCAGTCAAACCACAGATGTGTACAGCTAGAGTCCCCTGTTCTAGGAATCAGATCCAGTTTCCTGCACAGTCTCCTCCTCCTCTTTAGTTTTAGTCCTCGAAACATACCATGATAAAACAGGAATGGATCTGGCTTTACAGGTGTTTCTGTTTCTGCAGTATTCAGCTCCTGCAGGCAGAATGTGAACTGAGTGTTCTCTTCAGTATTGATTATCTTTCTGAGGAGGGTTGAAGGGAGAGGGAGGGCTCTTAATGCCTCAGCAAAGGATGTTGGGATTTACCTGGTTAGCACAGTGGAACTATTTTTAATGTGTCAGTTATCAGTTTCTACTTTTCTACTCCATATCCCAAAATCTTGTAATCAAAAATAACTTCTTGAATAACCAGTAGTTTTCTGATACAGGCTCTTACCACAAATGTTTTTATACTGTCATGACAACTAAATGGTTTGATAATACATAAAAAAATCTATTTTACTTCTACTTTCGTATAACATTTTTCCTTTCAACCCATAGTTTCTGATAAGGAAAAATGAAAGTGAAATCCTTAAAAAATGCTGATAAACAAGAAAAAATACAAACCACGTGTTTAAAGATATCTTCAGTCAAATCTGATTATTGCAATGGAAAGTGGAAAATTTATGTGAAGGGTTTATAAATTAAAATTTAGAATTATTTTTTCCTTTGTAGAAAGGATGACATGTTTAGTTCTGCTTAAATTGGTTCATGTGCAACAAGTTGCTCGAAAAGAAGAAAGTGACAGTGTCCTTTTTTCTGACGTGCTGTAGCTTCTTGCACCCACTTTTTGTTAACTGCCTGTATTTTCCACTGGACTGTTTTCTTATCTCCGTTTTTAAAAAGAATTCTCAATAAAGAGATGTGCATTTGGATAAATAGACCGCAAGGTCTCCATTCACAGTAAGGTTTGTAAGAACAGTATTTAGGGCACATGCATGTGTTACAGAGAGGGGCAGAGCTGCATATTTCTGTAGAGAGGAGATATGTAAGTGATGCCAGCCCGTTCCTTCCATTATAATACAAAGCCTTGCAGAGCTCTGAGTTAGAAGTTAATGGGTGTAATCTCTTCCCTAGCTAGGAACCTGATGTAATTTTTGCTTTCAGGTAAAACTTTAGTTTTCTTAAGATGTCTGTTACTTTTCCCCCATTTTCACGTTCAGAGTCCTTCAGTTTCTGTTATGGAGCTTTTTCCAGTGCCCTGCATGCCTTCGGCATATTTTTCTGACCCCAAGCTATCTTCACTTCACTCTCTGAAGAGGGTGCTTGGCCCTGTTTTGCATTTCAAGTACCATGGGAACTGTAGTTTTTGAGGAGTGAATGAGGTGACAGGAACTGTAGGGAGCAAAATATTTGAGTAGAAGTATGTCTTCCTTGACTGGCTGTTCCTGTTTTTGCCTGCAAAGAAGAGCTTACCTCCTGCAATGTCATGTTTGTTTTTGAAGGGAAACAGTGTTCGAGGCATTCCAGTAGAGCAGTGACTGAAAGGGCAAAGTTTGGGCTAAAAATAACTTGAGCCAAGCCACAGGCTGTACTTTTATAAGTTGGTGTGTGTTACACTGCTTTGTAATATGAGGCCAGTACAGTTTATGTGTTTGTATTTGGGCAGTTTGCAACCCTGGCATTGCCAAACAGTTCGTAAGGAGAAAAAAAAAAAAAAAAGGAAAAAGGAAACAGAGGGGACAAGCAGTCTAATGGTGCTCTGTGCTTCCCTGGATGTTTGATTCCAGGGGAAAATTTTCCCATTGTATTTATTTTTAATGACTGCTAAGAGAAGTTTGTATGTATTGTTTAGATTTTGAGTTAAAAGTCCTTTGGATTTTTATAGTGGATTTATATACTATCTCAATATAAATACTTATTTTGTTTTCACAGTCTATTGATGGCTTGCACGAGAAAGGAATGGTTGAAGACGTCCATTGTGGCTCCATGAAGAGTATGCGACCTCCTCACCCTGGAATGGGCCCACCTCAGAGTCCAATGGACCAACATAGCCAAGGTTTATACATACTATGCATGCTGTATGATTTTGAGGCCCCTTTGCTACACAAAGAATCAGTTGTTCCATGTAACAGATTTCCAATTATTTCCTTTCAGCTTTGTTTGGAAAGGCTGAACTGAACTGATACTGCAGGGAAAGGCGGATAACTGAATCCCCTTGCTTTCTGGAGTGTCCATCAGCCATGTATTGGAAAAAAACGCTAAAGTTCAAGTCTGTGGGTAGGGCAAGTAATTGAACTTACAGATTTCTGTATCTACAGAAACCCCACCTAGTTCTTTCCTGTCTCATGGGGCTATTGTAAATGTAAATGCATTAGAATATGATTTATTTTAATCCTGTAGGGGAGGAATGATAAGAGAGAAGAACCCAAGCAAACCTGGAGGAACCTTCTTTAATATCTACAATATTTGGTCAAAGACTGATCAAAGTTCTTTCCAAAATTTTTAATGCCAGAAAATAGAAACTTTTTACCACATTGCTATATGCCTTCTTTGTGTCCTTTAGTTTGCCACATAAGAAGACATACATTCTATAAGCAGCTCAGTATGGTGAAGATTTAACTGGTAACACCTGCTAGTATTAATTAGTTCAGCAGATAAGGTTTTGTGTATTACATAATTAATTATATTACAGCAACTCCTGGAGAATCCCAACTGAAATTAGGGTCCTGGTTTGACACACTCTCTATGAATCTATTAAGAGATAGTCCCTGTTTGATGTATTTACGTATTTATTACGTAGATAATAAAAATACTGGAAGGAGAAAACAGGTATAGATCAGCAAAATGAGTCAGCCTGAACTGCTTTGTGACTTTTCTGTGTGCTGTGACTGAAACCCTAGTCTACAATTTGTCAGCTGAATTCCTGTCTGGGACCTTGAACATAACAAAGTACTGTTTTTCCATTACAACTTCCAATACCAGTTAAGTAAAATGAACTGACTTTGCAGGGACAAATTCTCTATCAGTTAAAACTTTTCCACTGATTTCAATGAGACGCAAGCAGGATCATCCAAGAGAAAAATTTTCTGACTCTGCATTCAGAGACACTCTTTTTCTTGTAATGAACTTGTTCCTTAACATGAACGGAGTGTTTAGTCTGAAGATGAAGATGGGTCCAATTCAAATAATGTGCTCAAAATACAAGAGAACAAGTTGCAAATGCTTCAAATACAGGTAGCTCTGAGTTGTTTTGTTCTTTCCTGTGCTGACTGAGATCAGACTTCCAGGTTGTGTTACTTTGTAAAAAGGTGATTGTATTAGCAGTAGCTGTGGCGGACTAAAGACTACAGATTCCTGATGTCTTTTTGGTGTATGTTGGCAAGTATGCAAGGTAAACAGTGAGTACTGGAGTTCTAATGTCAGCAGGCTTTTTAAAGAAATAGTTAAAAAACCCCACATGTTCTAATATTTTAAATACTCTAGTTGAAATTATCAAGGAGTGTTTTAGCTTTTTTTGCCTCTGTGTCTTCTTCTTTTCTTCTTACACAATTATCTTTTCACAAAAAAGGGTGATGGCACTTGAGGCTATACATGCTGAGGAGAGTCCTATCTGCTAACCACATACTTTCTCCCCATTAATGTACATATCCAAGATAGAAACCTAGGTTTCTTAATAGCCTTTCAATCTATTGGATACTTTCAGTCTGTTTTACCATGGGATTAGAGTCCTGTAAGACAATTGTGTTTCTACAAGTTTTGTGGAAATAGGCATTGTGGTAGAAGAGAGTGAGTTTTTCCATATCCACACTCATGGGGGGGAGGGACAGTATGAGTTATCTGAGAATCCATGGAAAGGTGCATGGTAAATCTTCCAATCCTGACAAAATCTTCAGTTGCGTTTGGTGCATTGTTAGAAACCAAGATTTACTGTAAGGTTCACTTCCTTGTAGATTCTTGGACATCTTGTTGAGATTAGGTTGCAGTTGTGTAACAATGTGCATGTCAAATAGAAATTGCTCCTCGGTAGTTCTGGTTTTTTTCATGGCTTATCATTTGTAGGCCTCAAGTTGAAGTGGGTAAATATATGTGCTAGTTAATGTTACTGTTTTAAGACGTTTGCTGGAAGGTAGCTGAAGAAGCTCAAAACCTCAGGGAGTGGGTGACCCTAAACTTCTGCCATTAGTTTGAAATTATAAGCAGAATGACCATGTACCAGTTCAATGTTGTTTAGTTAGCACTGGTTCTAGGTAAATCAAGGAACATTATCTTTTAATTCCATATCACCTTGTCTATAATTCAGGCCATTAGAATCATTTTATGGAACAACACAGAGTCCTAGAATCCTAGTATGGGCTGGAAGGGACCTTTAAAGGTCATCTAGTCCAACACCCCTGCAGTGAGCAGGGACATGTTCCACGAGATCAGGTTGCTCAAAGCCCTGTCCAACCTGACCTTGAGTGTTTCCAGGGATGGGGCTTCTAACACCTCTCTGGCCAGTCTGTTTTCCACCTATCTCATTGTAAAGAATGTCTTTGTTATATCTAGTCTCAATCTCCCCTCTTTTAGTTTTAAACCATAACCCTTTGTCCTATTGCTAGAGGCCTTACTAAAAAGTCTCAATTTTTCTTATAAGGCCCCTTCAAGTATTGAAAGGCCACAATAAGGTCTTCCGGGACCCTTTTCTTCTCCAGGCTGACCAACCCCAACTCTCTCAGCCTGTCCTCATAGGAGAGGTGTTACATCTCTCTGATCATTTTTGTGGCCCTCCTCTGGACTTGCTTCAACAGGTCCACGTCTTTCTTGCACTGAGGACTCTAGAGCTGGACACAGAACTCCAGGTGGGGTCTCACCAGAGCAGAGCAGAGGGGCAGAATCACCTCCTTCAACCTGCTGGCCACTCTTACTTTGATGAAGCCCAGGATATGGTTGGCCTTCTAGGCTGCAAGTGCACGTTGCTGGTTCATGTCAAGCTTTTCATCCACCGGTACCTTCAAGTCCTTCTCCACAGGGCTGCTCTCATTGTCTTCATCCTCCAGCCTGTATTGATACTGGGGGTTGCCCCAAGCCAGTTGCAGGACCTTGCACTTGGCCGTGTTGAAACTCGTGAGGTTCGCAGGGACCCACTTCTTGAGCCTTCTTGAGCTTATCCAGGTTTATCTGAATGGTGTAAAGTCAGCCTGTCAAACAAATTTACTAATCTTATCATGGAGATCATAAACTAAATTGATTTATTAAAGTGTAGAGAAGTGTGGTGCAGTACAGTATTTGTACAGTCATCAGGCAAATGGATCCTGACCCATGTATGGTGTTTCTCTATGCATCATTAAAACCAGTAATAGTAATGAGAGACACAACTTTGTCTACCTGCTAAAATTATAACAATGCTAGACTTGTTACTGTATCACATTCTAATTTAGGAGAAGGATAGCACTAATTAAAATCAATATAACCTATGTTAACTATATTAAGCTAGTTAAATGACAGATGATAAAACTGCCAGTAAATATAAGATGATCATCCAGTTGTGGATTTTTCCAGTTAGTCTTGTAGGACTATATTTTAGTTCTGTGGTGTTCAGTGTATTAGTCAGTGATTTGGAAAAAAGTGTAAAATCAGCATTGCTAGAATTTGCAGATGGCACAGACATTTAGCAGTAAACAATGAACAAGTTAGTTACAAAGTCTGATCAGGGTGCTCAGTAGAATGCACCTATTTCACTAGCATGGATTTTATGACAGCCAACAGCACTTTGTGTGTAGGAGCAAAGGAGTTTATTGTGTAGGTGGTATGAGACTGTCATACAAATCAGAAAGGCTGAAAAAGAGTTTTGGTTATTCTGCCAGACTTAAACGTGTATTGCCATATTCAGTGTTTGCAACCATGAGATGGAATATACTACCTGCATGCAGGGGCATATTAATTGAGGAGCTGTGTCGCCTTTTCTAAGTAATTAGCTAAAGGCACTATATTATTATTTTGTTCCATTGTAGTATCTACAGTTCAGAAAGCTGTTTAAAAATATTTAAGGTAGCATGAAATGTTTGAAGCATCTTTTAGATGGGGAGGGGCTGAGTGAGCTGAAACTGCATAGCCTGAAAAAGAGAAGGTGGTTCAGAAATACCTGATGGGCCAGAGTGACAAAGAAGGAGCCAGGCTTTTTGCAGTGATTATCAGTGACAGGAAGGACACAATTAGCACAAACTGAAACACATGAAATTCCATCAGAACATGACATGCTTTTACTGTAAATGTGGCTGAACAGTACAGTAGGTTGCCCAGAGAGGTTGTCTAGTTGCCATCCATGGAGACAGTCAAAACCTGACTGGACATGTTGCTGGGCAGCCTGCTCTAGCTGACTCTGGGTAGGGGGCTGGGCTCGATGATCTTGAGAAGTCCCTTCAGCCTTAACGATTCTGTGAAATTGTGCCTTATTTAGAATACAAGTAAAGGAATTATTTGAAACTTGGAAGATTTGGGTATTTTGCCTGGAGAATGTTAAATTCAATTTTTATTCTCTCTGTGAGAGAATTAAAAGGTGACTTGATCAGCCTGCACATTCCTTGGTGATAGAAAGGCTTGGATCCTTTACCTTAAAAAAAAAAAAGAAAAAAAAAGTGTAATGAGCTTTAATACTTTCAAATTTAAATTATACAAATTCAAACTATTAAATATCTGCATCTTACTTAATGAGTATAATTAAACTTTGGCATAAGGATTACCCAAGTATTTGTGGTAGGTTTTGTATCACATGAAATTTAAGTCAACACCGGATGTCTTTCTCATCTGTTCTGTAGAACAGAGGAGGAGACTGTTTGGAGGGTAAGAGTCTTTGGTCTCTTTTAGACAAGTTAGGTAGACTGTTGTAGCCATAATGGTCCCTTATGGCCAGAAATCTGTAAACCTGTAAACAGGCTCTATGATTCTGAGAACAACTGGTACACTAGAGGAAGAAACAGTGGTTTTAATTCTTTGAGAATGGGAAGATTGGTAATCTTCCTAAAATGCTGCTCTTAAGAGCTCTGAGTAGAACAACTGTGATAAATGCATGGGCGTTAG